GAGGAAGGCAGCCAAGAAAATGGAAAAGAGAGTTTGGATGGGGAAGAACTCAGACTGGGTGCCATTGTGCAGGACACTGCCGTTCATGCCGTTGCGGAGTTGCCTCACAATGGTGATGATTTTTGGTGGGCAGCCAAACTGGCTGAGGGTCCGCCAGAGGGCTTCCCTATGACCGAGTCGAAGGCCTTGGTTAGGTCGATAAAGGCCATGTACAGGTCATGATGCTGTTCTCTTAACTTTTCCTGTATTTGGCGGGCAGCAAAGATCATGTCAGTGGTGCCACGTGATGGTCTAAAGCCACATTGAGATTCTGGGAGGAAGTTTTCCACCTCAGGTAGTAGTCTGATATGGAGGACTCGGGCGATAATCTTGCCAACTATGGACAGCAGTGAGATCCCGCAGTAGTTGCCAGTCTGATTGCTGTCCCTTATTCTTATAAATATTGATGATGGAGGCATCTTTAAGAGCTTGGGGATCTCCTCATTTTCCCATATATTCTCCAGGAGAGTGGAGACGGCTAGTAAGCAGAGGTCCTCCTGCTTTATACACCTGGGCTGGGATTCCATCAGGCCCTGAGGCTTTGTTATTTTCCCTGTTTGATGGCAGTAGCTACCTTATCTAGGAATAGAGGATAGCCGAGATGGGTCAGCTCTGGATGCTGAAGGACCTGTTGGGTAGTCAGGACATTCACGTCGGTGTTTCGGTTGAGCAGCGAATGATAGTGCTCTTTCCAGCACTCACGGATGCCTTCTTCGTCTTTAATTAGGGAGTTACTGTCGGATGAGCAGGGGGGCTGTGCTATGAGTCATTGGCCCATAAAAAGTTTTAGTGGAATTTAAAAATTCACACATCTTGTGTTGATCTGCAAGTTTTTGCATTTCACATGCTTTATTTTTAAACCAGTCGTTCTTTAGTTTTTGCGAAGTTCGCGCTGGGCAGCCGCATTTTTCTTGCGGAAGATATCAGCTTTGGTCCTAGACTGAGGGTTGTTCTGCCAGTCAGTTAAAATAGTACGTGTATCATCGACGAGTACATTGATTGTCGGGTCATTTTCATCAAACCAGTCCTGGTGTATTCTTTCGACCTGGCCGAGGGGATCTCTGCAGGTTTTTGTCATGACAAAGTCGAAAATACTCCATTAGGCACTGGGATTTGGGTTATTTATCAGCTCATGTTCGAGCTGCTCTCTGAAATCATGTGCTACCGCTGGATCCTCCAAACACTGAGTGTTAAAACCTCTTCTGGAGGCTTGTTGCCTTCGCCATTTTGGGGCGACGTGAAGTGACGAGCCGATAATTAGTGTCACAGTGGTCTGAGCTATGCATTACTCGGTTGATGAGGACATCTCGGTGATCTCTTTCTCTGACAATGAGATGCCAGTGTGTGGATCATGGGTGTTGCCACGAACCCTTGAACTTGTCGGCCTGCCTAAACAAGGTACTGTATTGGTGATAGTGAGGTACTGATGATCAAGGCCTAAAGGATCCACACTACTGTAGACCAATGATATAGAAGCAAGGATTATTGTTTGAACCAGTGTGTCAACTGTGAGTAATTTTGCTGGACAAAGAGAATAATGTGATCCACCATCTAGTTTGCAAACCTGGAAATTAAGTTTTTGATAAAAACTCTCGACTCAACCTTAGGCTGACCCATGAAAGGGAGAGACCAGAAGAAATTTCTTACCTCTCCACAATGCACAGCTCTGACACCCTTCTAATGTACTGGATGATAGAGCCAGGAGGAATGTTGACTCCAAGGCTGACAACTTTATAAAAGGTCTCTATCTAGTCTATGAATTTGAGAAGTGGTTCAAAGGACCTAGACAAATTTACAATTGCCCCTAGAGATAGGTTGACAACAAAAGCTCTTTGAGGACTGTTCTGTGCAAACTTGCATGATGTTGAATGTGTTTATGGTTTGACCTTCCTAATGTATACTTCAAAGTGCTTCCAAATGAATAAAAAAAAAAATTGCAATATTGGCATCACACATAGTAACAAAGAAATACAGTACCACAAAAAGTGAAACATGGAATTCTGCATTAATACAATTATTAACAGGAGACAAACAATCTCCAGAAGTCAGAAAATGAATCAGACAATAATCTGTCATACTCATGAAGATCAGACCCATCTCCCAGAGAGCTGGTATCTGATACCTGAAGAAGTTACTCCAGAAATCAAAGGACTTTCATTTTCCCAACAAAATAAGATGGATCACTCACTGTCACTACTACCTTACTTAAAAAATCTGAATGCCAATGAGGAACTCTGCTCCTTAGACTTTGTCCCAGTCTCAGGAAAGAAAGGGGATTCCCAAGATTCCCTTCATCTATGAAGAGAAACTCCTTGGCAAAACTGATTCAACTTGTCATTTTGACCCTGATCCAAGAAAGAAACTAAAAATGGAGTCTGTATAGACTAATATATAAAGAAGACCCAGTGAAAATGTTGATGCCATTGAGTATTTCAACTTGAGCCCCAACTCTAGCCCAGAGGAAATCCCTGGTTAAGTCATATAAAGCATCTCCTAAAGACCCCATCATTAGCTTCAATAGGCTGACCTTTGGAGAAGGAAAAAAAAAAAAAAACTGCCTTGACAGCAGTGTCTTCCAGTTGAATCGAGAATATAAGAGATAAAAATACTGCAAGCAAAACTCTTGTCACCAGCCCCTGGACTGGAACTTTACCTACAAAGGCTGAACTTTTAAGGTACCACAGGGGCCTGTCTAAAAGCCCTAGACCCCGAAATGAGGAATTAGTAGTTCCTAGAAATGCTCAACCATGAGACTTTTCTTTGTCAGAAATGTATGCTGAAAACATATGACAGAGGCATTATAAACCAGTCTCTAGGTGATTCCCCTTCCACTAAGCTCAAGTCACCCATCCCTAACAGTGTGCAGACAGCCCTTTCAAGAGAAATCAGAATCAGTGGTTTAAGTGTGAAATTCTGATTTTCATATGTCAGGGCTAATGTTTAATGGTATTCATGGAGCCACACCTCAGGACAGACTCAGTGTTGTGCTCATCACAAGGTCTGGAAGGTCTCCCACCTCCTCAAGAGGAATAAGTTCTGGACCCTGGCCTAAGGACAGCACAACCTCATGCTCTTCTGAAAATGTAACTTCCTTTCCTGCTTATCATGACTAAGACAACTTCTATGCTTATTCAGTGTGAAGCCCTAACTCACAGCTATGAGTCTCACGATCTTTATCTTCATGACTTGTCTGGAACTTATATAGAAGTCAAACACAATGATGCTACATCCAATTAAGTACAGTAATGGGCACTAATGAAAACTACTAAAAGGGACCAATTTCACTAATGGGTTGTGCTGTAAGAGAAAATTTACCAACATTTCACTGTGATGGAATGTACCCCTAGCAATCCTTCTGGTGTGTATTAATGAGACCACTGCCTAGAATGGGCCAATAATGGGTTTACACACTGCTGGGTTATGGGTAGCTCAAATTCAGTGAGAGATACATTGTAGCAACTTATTTGCCTCCAGTGAAAACCTTGTATGTAATTAGCCAGCTGTCAAATACTTTAAATGATTCCAACATGTTCTTAACTCAAGCAAATGAAGCAAGCAATAATCCCAAATGAGAATATTATGTGTAACTTGATTCATTCTAAGGCAGAATAACCAGCACACACTTCCTAAATGGAACTTTCTTGAATTTAAACCAATACTATACTCTCCATGTAAACCAGAATACCATCTTTGTAGCCTTAGGCCTAACCCCATCCAGATCTATCAAAACACAGAGCAAGGTTACACACTGTAAAATGAGGATACATAATGACCAGGTCATTTAACCCTTTGGTTACCTTACTTTACTTTTGCCAAGGAACACTTTTACTCCATCTGAAGGATTATGTTTATCAAATCCAAAGGAGTAGAAATTTTTGGGGGGGTTCACAATGCCTTATTTGACTACAGGTATTAAGCTCTGGTGACCGTTACCACAATTTTCAATGTAAACAACCCAGGTGCTCCGATCACATGATGGTTCCTCCCACACCTCACTTTGTCATACGTTAACAGAATCTCACAACAGACATTATTTCTCTGTACATAAATTTCATTCATATGAAGTGAAAATTCAATATAAAATATACAATACACTTATTTTGGGGCAGAGAATGGAAGCCTTTCACGGAATGCCCTTCAAATCTATTACAACATCCAAAGGGTTAAGTAAATGTCACCTCTATTGCAAATTGATGAATACAGTTAAAATACTAATGCCTCAGATTGCACGACAAACAAGTTTACCCACAGATAAGTGTCCAATATATATATTAAAGGAAGAAAGGAGGGTAGGGGTTGGTAAAAAATGACAGGTTATCAGAAATGACCCCAAAGATAAGAATCTGTTGAGAATGGTTGCAAGAGACAGTGCAACTTGGAGAGCTACTATCAGGTAATCACAGCTAACCCACAGAAGTGTCAAAAATGTCTGTACAATGATAATGAATAACTAACAAGCCAAAACACAGAGATATGATTGCTATGACCAGGTGAAGAACTGAGTAGGGATTGGTCCTGTTGTCCAGCTTGTAACTATAAGGCAACACGGGTTACAAAGCACATTATATTATTTCAGTGGTCTAGGACTCTTAGCTCTCACCTAACAGGCAACTGACATCTACATACAGTATACCATGTTTTAGGAGATGCAGTAGTACTGTGATTTTTTTTTCTCTTATTTCTGGAATATAGTCCTAGTCACACGCATGTCTGGGATCCTAGGAACACTGGGTTGTCAAACTATATACATGTTGACTGTACATGAATCACCAAATCCATTCTACACGTTATAAAATATGTAAATAAATCATAGCTAATAAGATATATGAGCAGTGTATGTTCCAAACCTAGCACTGTCAGTCAATTTTTCATATTCATGTTTTTAAATACTTTTTATCTTTATACCAAAAGCAAATGAATCAAACTGTTTTTATTCTCCTAATTATATATATAATACTTACGTGCGAGTGGCTTTACTGTTTTCCCGCATTGAGAATTTTCTTCTAGACTTCGGTCGACCATTGGCGTCTAAACCCGTTCTTACAATTTCCTCTGCAAAGAAGCAAAGAAAATTTTAGCAAAATTAAAGGTATTCCAGGCTATAAATGAGTTCTGATAGGCAGAGGTTTGGCAAAAAGGAATTAAAAAAAAATGGCATAGGCTCTCTTAGATGTTCTTTTAGGCAGCTGAAAGATGTGTGGTAATGGCACTAAAGAGTGTAGCTCATTGGAACAGTGAGTATGTGAGTATCTAAGGGAAATGAGTGATGAAATTATCCCTATTTATGTATAATGCTGGAAATTTCCTGGTAACATTATTATTATATTTTGTTTTGATGGCCTTTTCTGCACCAAACAAAGGAGGTCAAGTTCCTCAACACCACACCCAGCCCAAGTCTAAGCTTCACTTAAGCTGTGTTGGCTCAATTTCTAATGAAGTCATCGTAAGACTTGAAGTATGAGTAATGCTTAAAACCACAGTGCTGTATGATTAGTGACAATTTTTATTTTGAATTGTACAGGTCGTGTCTGTTACTTAATATAATGTAACCTGTATCAGTGAGATTGAAGAAATCCAAGAGTGATGCACCCAACTTATCTGTGTATGTGAGGTCATCATGTAGAGATGAGTAAAGGATCTATGGAGGGTCAAATCATGAGAGTTCTCTCTCACTGGAAGATCAGTAATGTACAATAAGTAATTCCAGAATTCTCAGTGATACTCAGAGAAAAGACTGACCAGAACTACAAACACTTTGTGATACGACAGACAAGAAGAAAATAAGAGAATAATGAGGAAAGGCCAGAGGTCGTCAATTTTGCATGTAAGAATTGATGCAAAACTCTCAAATGCTTTGGAGATATCAGGAGCTACTACAAGGGTTTCACCATTCCAGTCTACTGATTGGTGTACTGAATGTGTGTGGATTAAAAGATGACCAACAGCAGAGTATTGAACCAAATACTGAAGTGACAGACCATCAATAAATTTTTTTTAAGGTGTTTGAAAATATAAGTTTTCAAGATAATTTAAAAAATATTTGCTACTGATGCAGTGTGGGGAGATGGGGAGATTTGAAGGGTTGGATTTATCACCCTTCTTTAGGGTTGGATGCATGTAAGCATCTTTCCATGAAGAGAGGAAAGGCTTTAGTACAAAGAGATGTCTCAGGAAACTGGACAGAATAGAAGTAAGCTCAGTAGAACACTTTGAGAACCAGTAGGGAAACCTTATCTGGCCTGGAGCCTAGTTAGTTTTTTAAAAAATCCATGATTATTTCTACATATTTTGACCATTTTGAGGACTGAAATTTCAAGCACCTTCAGATCTGGACAAGGAATCATCTGCCCATCCTCCTGCAAAGTTGAATAACAGGCAAGATTTTGAGAAAGGAGGTTAACCTTTTCCTAGACATCAGGGATCGCTGAACCATCAGGTGAGTTTAAAGGAGGAATGGGTGAAAGGCTACTAGATTTTGAGAAGCACGCATTAAAGGCATGATTAGCAGTCTAGTTGATTTTTTATAGATAGTTTAAATTGCATGTTTATAGTTATTGACTTAATGGCACTGGAACAACTGAACCATTTGGTATAGCTGAAGTGTTTTTGGGATGTTTTATTCAGTATGAATCCCAAAATCCCAATAGTTGAACAAGGATATTCAGAGATGAATGAAGACCAAAGAAAAGAGAAATATGTAGTAATCCCCATGTCCATCCCAGACTGCATGATCATTAAGCAAGTTGTGCACTTTTACAAATATTAAATGGACAGTGAAAAGCAGACTTGGCTGCAGGGATGGGCCAATAATCAAAAGAGCCAAGTGGAGACAAAACTTTGAGCGAGTGAGAATTTGAGTAATTAGTTTAAAATAGATCATGCACACATCCACAATGTCAAGCAAAATCAGGGATAGGTGTGAGAGTGCTGCCTGCTTGTGTAAGATAAGTGAGATGGGAAAGTGCTCCCCCCCCCTCTTCATATTAGCATTAACCCATATGTTCTCACCTTTGTGCAAGTTCCTGAGGTAGGCCACATGTGGCAGGTCACTGATCATGACCATATTGAGGATCCCAGTTCGCATTAGAGGCTTGGTGCGTTTGAGGTTGATGGTCTGAACCCAGTCTCCAGACAATACATCAAATACGTCTATGTGAATATCACTGTAGACCAGTAGAAGCCCATCACAGACCGCTAAAATGTAATGCATTCATTAGTTTCATTCTATTAATAGGAGAGGAAATGTTCATTCATCAAAACAATTTACTTGAAAATGTAGGAAGGCTGAATACAAGAAATAATTATACTCTCTCTCTCTCTCTCATCAGTCCATATAGCATCCAGACTTCCATATAAAAACAAGTTTTTTTTCATTTACAATGCCAGGGATATGGTATGAGCACCTCTGTACTTTGTAAAGGTGAGCTAAGTAAGAATGATCAGTCTAGTTCTTTACAAACATTAGTTAAAATTTCTATATAATATTTACAAACAGCTGGTAAATCTTTCTTTAGTTTTTACTTACAGCTGTTTAATAAGTCTATACTTAAAGCTGTTAAGTGTTAATAAGAATCTTACCACCTGCTCCTAAGGCTATTTTTTGTCTTTGCCAACAACTGGCAAGTTGTAATAGGAACAGTTGGTCAATCTAAATTTATAAGGTTCTTACCAACAGCTGTAGGTATGGCAGGGTACATCAGCTCCTTCTCACGATTCTTGCGACCTGAGGCATCAACATAGACAGCCAAAAGGTTGAACACTAATAGATACTCCCCCCTCGTTACCTCGATACAACTCAGAGCTTCACACTGTGTCATAGAGAGGAAGCCTAGTGATTGGCTATCTGGATGAACCAGGGCTGTAATATGAAAATAGAAATATTTTAGTTTTCCTGTGCTCCAGTAATGGCTGAGGTTTACAGTATAGATAAAAAATGTTAATGTATAATTACAGCACACAACACTGGATGTATAACAGGCCTTCAATTTCATGGCAGACAAGCTAGCCATGAAAATAAGTGCTCTCTGACTTGTGTGTTGATTTGGCAAGTGACATTTTCCATCAGTATACTGTACATAAATCCACCTTTTCCTTCCTAACCCTCCCTTGCTCTTAATTATAAAAAGCCTTGTCACCACACACATTTTCTCTTCATTCTGTCATTTAGGAAAAAAAAAAACAATCTAAACTGTGGACCATGGGGGATCATGGACTGTATATAGCTGGACCACCGAGGGGTTCACATAAAGATTATCAAGGCAGGCAATAGGGTGTTTATTCTATCAGACAATATTAGTAACAGTTCAGGCTTGTATAATCTAACCAGTAACAAATTATTTTTGTTAATTTTGCTAACTGTTAATGAACTTTTATTTTTCAATGCCCACTTGTTTACTTTTAACTTGAACATTCTCAAAGAGGCAAGAAATAATTAATCTAAAGAATATGTACCGTAGTTGTATTTTCTATAAAAAAAATGCAAGTGCGTATCTGCACTTAACTATTCCAAAATTACCATACTTTTAGTTAACCCCAGCACTAGTCTAAGCCATTCCTCTCAGCCATTCATTCCTTTCTACAGGTCACTTTCTTCTCCCACCTCCTATACTACTAGCATGGGCCTCATAACACCAAATATTTCTAGCTTACCGTCATAAATTTTTTTTACCAATTCCTTCCTTTATTTTAAACCATTTCCATTAAATGATCCTCTTGAACTGTTTCGCTTTATGTGCTCCTATGACAAAAAATATTCACTATTTCTGGGGTATCATGACCTGAAATACATACAGTATCTAAAAGTCTGCACCTCAACTGAACCCTGAAGAAGGGAATTTTATCCCTCTTTCTACTTCTAATGCATCACTGACTAACCAAGAAAAGGAAAACTTTATTAATATTTTTCTAGCACTTGCAAACCCTATTTATTTTCAAGTGAGTTAACACCTTTATGGAATGGTATAATTCAAATTTGGTAATATTAATACTGTTCTATACAACTTGCACTAAGGATGCTGGTTACTGAGAGTATTATGTAACTTAAAAGTAAATTTATACTTACATAGAGGGTGTTGGTCACCAAGAATAGAGTATATGGTGAAGGCAGATTGGAAGCCCACTGCAAGCCGTCCGTCACCCAAGATATCGAGGCTTTGGGGTGGCTGAGGCAGCAGGATAGAACGGAACAGTTTGTGTCGACCCTTGGCTCGGTTGATTTCATATATAATAATCTAAAATGAATAGATATTGTTAGTTAATGATATAATTCTCAGGAAACATACCGTGTACATTCATAGAAAATATGTAAAATATTTGAATAAACATGAAGCCCATATTTCTATCTCAAATTCAGTTTAATACACACAAAATAATATTAACTTACTTGTCTTTTAACAGCTACACATAAACAGTAAGTGAAGACAACAGTGCCTGGAGTACGAAACTTCCCTGTAGTAAAAGCAATGGCACCCTTTGTTTCTGACACCTGAAAAAATAAAAATACAATGTTTTAACTTTCTTGAAAACAATCAAATTATGAGGGTATAAAATAGCATATGGAATACTAACTTGTGCTACAGCTATTCTCTAACAAAGTGCAAAATAATTATCGGAAAAAAAATAGCTGCAAAACGTCAGCTGAACTATATTCCTTGATGTTAATAAATCTTGGAAAATATTAATATGCCTTCACTTTCAAACAAACTGCATAGGAATAAAGAATAAATGAATCCTCATATTTCCAATAACCAGTACAGTATGTATTTGTAAATCCCTCTTGCTCCAAAGTTCAATTCTTACCTTAATCCACTCAACTTCATCACCACCAAGGGCTCTGACAGGAATCAATTTTACTTGCCGCTGCCGTCCTGCTATGACCATTATCAGCTGTTCTTCTCCGATGTACTCAAGGCTCACAATCTTTTTACCATCACCTATACGTGCAATTTCTGAAAAAAAATAATTAAAATAGTGGCTTGTATGCCGAAATAATAACACACAACCATCCAACCTTAATAGACCTCCACACCAAATATAAAAACTTGTTCAATCTATATAAATAAGGCATGTCTGCAATCAGCTGATTTTTTTTCTTCAGTAAAACTAGGGAACTTGATCCTAGAACGACGAGTATGTTTATTAAAATCATAAAAACAAACATATTTGTTGTCAAGTATTTATATAATACCTTTACAGTGGTCCCTCGGTTAACAAACGTCTAGGTTAACGAAATTTCGGTTAACGAATTACCTTCCATAAGAATATTCAATTCGGTTAACGAAATTCTTACGAAAACATGTTAACATGTTTTCGCTTGCTCACCAGCTGGTAGATTAGTCCGCCAATACAGTAATTGGTTCTAGGGCTTAAATTCGTTCCCATTTGAGTAAATATCAAGAAGGTTGTGCAATTAAATATTTTTCCAGGTTTTATATTAAAATTATTAGTCATTTTAACACATATTTAACATAATTGCAGTACAGGGAACTTATTTTTGGTGCGCCAATCAGCCCACTTGACTCACCCACCAAGGTGTCAGTTTGTGTCTCTGTTCAGTGGAGGTAACATCTTGCTTGTGGCTCTCTTGAACGTAAACTATTTTTACGTTTTTACAGTACAATTATTGGTCATTCTGAAATTCATTTAACATATTGACAATATATAGTGCAGTGTTGATTTGAAGAAAATAATCTTGAATTACACCTAGTGAACTTAAAATTTTATTGGTGAAATGACGGCATCAATCATGGGGTGATTTCCCTTCTATCCCCACTTCCGTCTCTTCTCCCTTCTCCTCCTCCACCTGCCACTTCAAATTCACATCAGCATGATCAACCAGGAGCCTTCTACATACACACCTCAAAGTAGTGTACTTTACTGATTTTTTTTTTTCTTTGTATGTAATTTTCGGTGAGCTGGAACCAATTACCCGAAATCCCATTGAAACAATGGTTTCGGTTTAAGATATGTTCGGTTAACAAAAGACCCTCTGGAACGAATTGAATTCGTTAACCGAGGGACCACTGTACAAGCAAAGTTAATACTATACTCGTCTATGGAAACTACCAAGTTAACAGACATAACCATACAGGAATATGCCCCATTAACTGTACTCCTTTCCCAATTCTGTGTGGGGAAGGGAAATAATATGGGAGAGATACAAGATAAGTTAAGTGTATGTATCAGAAAGGGCTGAAATAAAAAATAAAATATTTCACAAGCATATCCTCATACTGTCAATTTGCATGTATAATCTACAGTACTAATCCTTATGGCCCATACTGATACAGTAAAGTATATATCAACAGAAAATTGGGGATCAAAAGGCTTCCATAAAATGCTATCGTGAACCGTTGTCAAAAACAACAGTATACAGTACTACAGTACTTGTGTCAGTTTGGTTATATCATTAGTTTCTGTAAATATTTATATTATTATTATTTTTTTTTATGGGGAATAGCCCACCCGGGCACAGGCCATCGACCCACAGCGGGGCCTAGGGAATGAAAATATAAGAGTAAAAAGAAATTAAAAATAGAAAGAAAAAGATTACAGTATATTAATCTACACCACGAAGACGCCGGAAAATCAGCTTTTTGAAGTGAGAGAGATTGTATGAGTATGGAAACACAGAAGAAGGCAGAGCATTCCACAGTTTGGCTGTGTGAGGAAAGAAGGATTTACTATAATGGGTTATTCTAGTGTGACTGACATCCACAGAGAAACGGTGGACACCGCGGGCAAGACGAGTGTTATGAGCCCACGGCCTGGACGGCAGTACACCGAACATTGCCCTTTCAAGTCCCTGTAAAAGAGAGTGTATGAAGCAACATTGAGGCAAAGAGAAAGGGAAGAAAGATTATCAACTAAAGGAGGAGAGTTAATATGACGAAATGCCTTTGATTCCACCCTATCTAACAGTTGGACAGAAGAAGAGCCACCCCAGGTATGAGAGCAGTACTCCAAGTTAGGACGAATGAATCCCTTTTATACTTAAAGCAACTGCTCAGGAGTGAAGTAGCTACAGCATCTGTACAGCATTCCCAGGTTTCAGGAGGCAGCTTTAGCAATGTTGAGGATGTGTGGCTTCCATGACATATGTGAGAAAATGGTGAGCCCTAGCATATCTATTTTCGAATTTGGCAGAATGATTGCGTCCTGAAATGTGATTGGTGGGAGATCATCTAATTTGGAAAGTGTAATTGGTAAATACTGTGTTTTATTACTATTGAATTTAACCAAATTTCTACCTCCCCATTCGGAGATGCTACACAGATCCGCATTGATAGATGTAATATCAGCTGTATACATAACTTATTTCATTACTCTCTCACACTCTCAATGTTATAAAGTCTATAAATAATCTTTCACCATGTCATTATTCTCCTACAATCATTGTATAGGCTACTGCTAACTCAAAAAAGGACAAGTAGACTCATCAATCACACTACCAAGCACACAGTCACTGATCCAGTTGCTTGATTATCAAATTTCTCCTCAGTTACTCCCATGTACTATGTGCAAAATTTAATAAAGTGCAAAATTAATTAAAAATATAATTATTCTTAAATTTCAATTTGTTAATGCTCAAATCATTTGAATAATTGATTATCACTAGTATATTTTTGGTTGACAGAAAATTTGTACATAAAAAAATAATACCCTATCAGTAAATACAACTAGAAAAGTGTTATTTAATAGTGTCTAATTTTAAGTTATGCTGACCTACACCAAGCAAGTTCATGCCATCAGTATCAAACTAATGTAGCTGCAATTAATTTGATTCCCAGGTGAATATCAAAACAACCTACCACAATTGTCGAGGTCAATGCAGAAAAGACCTTCTTCAGCACCCAACAGAAGACGGTCTGGGTCAATGACTGTACCACACACGGCATTTTTTATCAGTGTTACACTTCCATCAACAACTTCATGGGCAGTGAATATCTGTTAAAGAGAAAAAAGCATCTCATTATTCACTTGAATACTTCTACAAGTATTTAGTTGTGCGAGCTACATCCGAAAATTTTCAAGACAATACACAGGCATCAAAATATACCTGATTAGGGTTGAGCAATATCAAACATCAAACTGGAAGACAAAGAAGTATTCTTCTGTTAGTTGCACATGGAATTAAAATTCTATTCCAAGGCTCTCTATTCCTGACCATGTGCTCATAGTTAAAATTGCAGATAATTAAATCATTGTTTTCAAATATCATCATTCACTCTGTTTTTGTTACAAGTGCTTTTGCTCTGTTTTCGTGGTTGAGAAGTGTGCAGTGTAACTTTGAATATGTTTGGGAAGGCCAAGGCACCCAGGAAAACCAAGTCTCTGGAGGTGAAGCTTGACACCGCAGAGGCTGTGTGAGTCATAGTGACATCTCCACTCCACCTTTAAGAATCCCCTTAGCCTTGAAGGGGACATGTGATGATGACCAGGCTCGTTCTTAATGATGTCTTGAGTTTCGTTTAATTGTGTTTTACATATAAAGTATTATTTGAGGAATTTTATTTTCAGTGATACATGTGGGTGTTGGGCTGGCTGGGAACGTATCCCACTGAACCCTATGTTATAATGAACCCGATTTACGATTTTTTGACTTGTAAAGAATTTTTCAAGAAAGTAACCCCATCGTAAATTGGGGAAACCTGTACTTAAAAACAACCTAACCTCTAGGCAAGAACCCATTCTCCTCTTTAATTTTTGTTTACTTAAACCAATCATATGAAGCTTTATCAACAATAATAATTTAGAGCCTAGAAGGTTTTTATCATATTATTGATTTTGGTGACAAACAAAATAAAATAAAACAGAAAAATCATGAAGTAAACACACACTAGTTTGTGCTACAGCACATCACCTGACACCACATCTCATCACAAAAAATTTCTCTACCATCTTTGGCGAATGTTAAATTATATGTCTTCAGCACATGTACTTCCATGCATAAATATGGCTTTGTTGAATTTGTTTTATGTTATTCAATAAAAAAAATTTAATTCAAATATTTTTTTTTTGTTTCATGGCTGCATCTTTCTTTGTTGCTGTGGTCAGCTGTTCTGTTACTGCAAGATAACATTAATCCATATTTTACTCAACATATTTGTTCTTCACTTTTGTTTCCTTTGATATATGCATAACAATTTGACAATAACTCGTAATGTTTAGATTCCAAGTTAGTTACAAAAGAGAATGAGAATTGCCAAGAACACATCATACACATTAAATTATGGCAAGTGGTACCTCAGCCAATAAACTGAAGCCTGACTCACCCGGCTGTTACAACACAAGAGTTGAGAGAGCTAGACACATGCCCTTATTCCTGGCCAAAGCCTCACACAGCAAAGATGTCACAAACCTTACTTAAAAAAAAAATAAATAAAAAAAATCGATACTAACTAGTTTACATGTGCCGATAATAAGGCTTTATTGAATCTGCTTTGTTATTTGATAAGAAATAAAGAGAAGAAATATTTATGGCTGCATCTCGGCTAAGCACTTGGATATGGAACACTGAGGTTTTGTTTTATGAAGTACAGTATTGTTAATTGGCATGGATAAATTGAGATTTAAAATTTTTTTGAATTAATAATAAAAATGTTGAAAAGTTTTTTAAATACCTGTCTATTGGGTAATCTGTTTCTCTTCAGTATCCGATGTAATTCATTTAACGCCACTACCCATTTGGTTTTTTCATTTTCAGTGTCTGCAAGCATTAAAGTGTGGTGTCTCACTCCCACCATAGAGGAAGTCGTTACCTGGAAAATATAAATAGTTACTAAAAATATTCAATCTATAGATGGGTGGCATCGTAAACACCTAACTTCTGTACACACCTACACACACAGATGCATTAAGTTATGCAAGTCAACAATTATCCATTTATATAAACAATAAATCAAACACAATGGGGGAGCTAACAGATACAGACAACCAGGCAGACAGAGGCAACACATCCTACCCAACACCAAACAGACTTTTCACAAACTTGTGCCATTCACTCTTTTTCAGCTGCCTACTAGATGTGTTAGGTTGTAGTGCTCCCCTTCAATAACAAGGCCTCAGATGTCCAACTGGTTTGCCCTAACACTTCATTCACACACACACACACACACACACACACACTGTTCTTTATCATCCTGCTCTCAAAATGAAGTTTATCAAAGAATTGACACTCAAAATTAACCCCACTTAATTCTTTTCATTTACTCTTTTTCACAAAATCATACCACAGTTAATAACACAAAACCTTCTACGTATTTAATAGCTTAGATATAGAGTACTGTATACGGTATGTACCATCTTTCACATGTACGGTGAACTGTCACAAGTGAGGTCTTGCCTACACAAACAGCCATCTCAAAATCATTCTTCAAAGTTACATTTATTTAACATCTTTCTATTTTCACTTCCCTATTTTCCTATTCAAATTTTTCCTCTAATGATTTATAATGAGCATAAACTCTTCATGGTCTTTCTACAGTGGCAGATTTAGAGGAGCACAGGTGACAAAACTCTCATCTTTAAATCACCAAAAAAAAATTCAGCTTTGAATTTGATATTGCTTATTTATTATGTTAAGTACTGCACACCAAGGCGAGAATATGGTGACGAACAGATATCTTGACCCTATTAATCTTATACTATCAGTAAAATAATGCATAATAAACCCTGAGACTGCATGTTAAGATGGGAAGTAACTACCAAAACCCTGAGCTAAACAAAACAACCCACACATTATGGATAACCAAATTTGCACACATTAATAAACATTCTCTGAAAGTTATCTAGGTGATACTTACCCTAAATATACAGGGGATGTCTTTCTTGTTAGCATGTATTACATCCGAGTCTCGAACCGTTGAAACTTCAAATTGGTCATCTCTCATATCAAGGACTGTGCTTACCCACACACTTGGTAAGGCATTTCTACAAAATGAGAAAGATTGTTTCAGATTAGAAAACCTCCACATGCTTAGCACCAAGTGTAAATAAGAAATACAGTAATACCAAAAGTAAATGAACTGAGTAGTTAAATGATTCCAATCTATTACTTTTGTGAAAGAGCAGGATTACTAAGCAGCTATACACTTGCTGAAATCATGTGATGTTCGCTTATGATTTAATTCAAAATGAATCATATTACAGTATTTCCAATATTGAGCTGTGTCAGCAATCATATAAGTAACCTGCCACTGACTTGAATCAATTATTGAGGGAGACAATTTATCTTCTCTAAGTTAGGTTGTTATACTAAATCCATTCAGTACAACCTTCTTAGACGAACCTGACCAATATTCAACTACAGTAACTATAGTCATCTGAGCCAGTAGTCCTTACAACACTCGTCACCGACGGAGAATGTTACTCACTGACAGTAAAGTAAATTGTTTTCTCTGCAAGGACAGCACTGTACAAATTAACTTAAAACTGTTCCACATTCTACAGTACGTATAACAAAAATTTTCAATATTTTCATTAAGCTTCTCACCTTTTCAACACCTAAATTCAACATTCCGGTCACTATCTTTGTATATTCTATCCTTATACTCACACATACTCATTCCATTGCTTTTATTAATGTAATCTTCAGGAATCTCCGGCATCTTAAACTCATCTTGTACAACAAAGACAGCACCACTACCTTATGAATATATAGTAATTATCTACCAACAAAAGTTGGGAAATTGTATATGATCTACAATTTTTATAGTCTACAATGTAGACTCTACATACTCACAAGAAAAAAATAATTACACTTACCTCTCGGGTGAAATATCATAGAGGAAGAGCTTGAAATCACATACAACAACAAACTGTCTTGACCATCCCTTTTTGACCCCTCCAGGCTTTGGTACTTTTACAAAACCTTCATACGCTGTACCAATGCCTCGAGTAGGATCAATACCCAATGGTCTCTTGGCTAGAAAAGAAGTAAAAAATGAGTGAAAAATAATTAGTTGCATGAATTTTTTTTTCGCATAAGAGTTTTGTCAAATTTTCTAGATATTAAAGATGAAATTAAAAAAATTGATCGATCATTTCACAGCGCCATTAATTATTACTTAAGAATTAGTTAACTCACCATATAAATACAATGTTAATGCATGATCTATATTACTATCCCTGGCTTTATAATACAAGATTCAACTGTACATATCAAACTTCCAGCAAAATTTGCAAATACTTCTTTTGTCATAAAAGTGATACCATAAAAAAACCTAAGTACTCACTCTGGTCAGGAGGCACAGGGCAAATTTGCGGCACTTTTTCCTTACAAGTAGTGTGGCAGGCAAAGCCGCAGACCTCACACACTACCCCTTGACGTGTAAGGCCAACCATAAGGGATGTGCAATGAGAGCACTTGATAGGATTGCTAAAGGAGCGAACTAGGAACTGATGGGCCTTTTGCTTCATCATATGTGGAGATGGTCCACCACCACTACTACTGCTGCCTCCTGACATGCCCATGGCAGTAGCCTGGTGATGGGCCATTGTAGGCATTACCCCAGGAGGAAGGTTGGCAGCGGTCTGGGGAAGTGGCGGCAGGGGACGAGACTCCATGTGAGGGGATCCAAGTTGCTCCTGTTATGATAAAATTCAAATCATGAAGGAACTCAACAAAATACTCATATGTTACATATAAATACTGTACAAGTACTGTGTACAGCGCATCATATAATGCAGATTTATGATACTGCTACAATATGAATACTAAAAGCATATGCACACACAGCATAATACAACTGTCCTTTTTTTGACACTTAGTCCAGCATGACCAGTTTCAAGAAAAATATAGTCACCAATCATTTGGTGTCATTCCACCTTTACAACTGTTGTAATACAGTACAGCATATGCTCTGCTATGGTTTTCTTCTTCCACATCACAACCTTAAAGAGTTTTTCTGGTTTACACTCGTCATTTCATAAAACTCATCTTCCTTCAGCACGACATCCATCCCTTTAAACCACCTGAGACCAGACCATGCTCAACACAATCTTATCCATCTCTTCCCATTTACACTTACTTCTGAAACTCTATATTTACTGTACTGTATATACTTGACCACATACTGAGTTTTTATGATAAAATTTTAATGCACAACACGGGGGATCAAAACTATATGCATACGGTAATATTTTTGAAGGGTTAAAATTCATACATTTCCATGGATTATTTATAGTGTACAAAGTTACCTGGGTCCATGCTCATGGCAAGCTAACCTTACCAGTAAGCTCCTTTAGCCTGGGCTTTCCTACCATAGCCCTACATTCTTTATATTGCTTCATGAAGAGCATAACCTCATTCACTATATATGCTGCTTTATATCTCCAAAACCTGATACATATTAAGATTTACAATTAATTTTCATTTTGTCTGAGTCTGTTTACATTAGTGGCATTGGTGCCAAGTTCAACTCGTCACTGAAGCCACACCCCCTCACTCTCTCTCTACCAAGCTGAGTTGTGACCTGTTATGTTTATTTTTCAACTCATAATATTATATATATATATATATATATATATATATATATATATATATATATATATATATATATATATATATATATATATATATATATATATATATATATATATATATATATATATATATATATATATATATATATATATATATATATATATATATATATATTATATAAATCACTGTAGGTGCGTGATCCAGGTATATGCTGATAACCACAAGGAAAGAAGAAAACACGAAGTTCCCAAGCGCTTTCGTGTAATTCACATCTTCAGGGGTGAGTACAGACTAAGGAGAAATACTTGACAAGGCTAATATATACAGTAGAAGAGAGCGAGATCAAGTCCCTAGGGGACCGTAGGCATCCGCAATGGTCCGGTCATTAGGCAGGGACTCTACTAATCTTCATAAGCACAGCAGCTGTCCATAATCAGGTCATAGGGGTAAGATGACCCAACCTTCTCACCTGGTTACAAATCTTCTTAATTGCATAATTATCCAGTTTGTACATACCATTATTCAAATTCATGTTGATGAATTCGGTATGTTTAATGAGACTGGATTCTATAACGTTCCTACTTGGGAACTTCGTGTTTTCTTGTTTTCTAGTGGTTATCAGCATATATACTGTATATATAATTTGTTATTAATTTTTTTTACTCAATTACATACAGAATGTGCAAAAATAAAGGAAAAAATTCTAAAAAAGTAGAAAACATAAATGGAATAAGCATTTCTTCGTGGGCGAGTTAGCACGCTGAGTGAGGGAGGGGGAATGAAGCAAGTCTCACAAATTTAATGCTCAATATAACCAACCTGACTGACAAAAGATCGTGATGATGTTAGGGAGGGGACGGAAGGAGCTCCTTCGTCCTCCACGTCTCCTTCCTCTGAGTCCAATGATTCTCGTCGCCGTAGTGATGTCTCTTTCAAAAACTGCTCCAGGAAGGACATCTGCGATGCTGGACGTTCCAACACTGAAGAATAAATACATGGCACTGATGAGTTACACATTAACATAGCTAAAGCATTAAAACTAGATATTTTAAGTTCAATTGTATATCAGTTACATGCAGCTCACTATTAACTATTTCTGAATTAAGAGACTTTCAGCCATTTATGAGATCAACAACAGCTGAGAAACCTTAGTTATTGAATAGAAGGAACATCATCCTACCCCATTAATTCAGTAGAAGGATCTTGTGGTACAGCTGAATGCATTATAACTATGGATGTAAAATTTCTGTGTATGACATAGAGCTTTACAAATGAATCCCACATACAACTGAAAGGTCCCTTTTGAACTCAAATCCAAAGCCAGCATAAAGGCTGTACCATCAGAATTCATGAGATTTTAACTTGTAACTGTAAACTCACGGAAGAAGAGTACAGGTATTTAACTTCATAAAGCCACTTCCTAGTTGCAATAAGTTGCAGCAGAATAAGTTAAAGGGTATTATGCCAACACAAAATTCATTTGCCCCAAAACATATTCAAACATAAGCCAAGGACAATATCTTCCACCATCTTAAATACTAGTGGCTGAAACACGTTTATTTGGAAGGCTTTGCTAAAGGATTAGTCCATATACTGAAAAATTTACTTACTTTAGTACTTACATCTGTTCATCAAACTCTTCACGAATTAATTTTGAAATTGGTGCAGCTAAAATAAATACTGCCGGTGTGATCAAATATTACATTCACTTTACTCGGACATACAGTACTGTAATACTTGACTCCACTTCAGATTACTGTCTAAACATTGTATATTTCCTATCTATAACATTAGAAAACATTTTACCATGAAATGAATGGCAAGGATTACTTAATCAAGTGTCATTAGAAACATATTTAGCTACAGCTTTTCTAAACTCGTACTAAAAGCTTGGCTAACTAAACATTCCTATATCATCTAGCAACAGAACAAAAATTACCCTGCCAAAGTCCAAACCCTAAAAAGCTCTACCAGTGTGAATGAATCAAAGTACATTAACTGGGATTCAGCTAAAACTGGGGTTATCCTATTGCACAAAAAAATAAAGGACTCTTACCAAAACCAAACATACTTCTTCCGATAGACCCTAAGAAAAATATATAAATCTAGGATTAGACATGCACAAAGACCGTCTTGATTCATATTAAAAAAAAAATAAATCATGTATTCATACTTTATCATGTCCCAATCAATTTTGTATCACTGACAAGAGACATCATTAAATGTCGGTAACTAAATATATTACACATCATCTACAGACAATAAATCTGCTGCACTTGAAACATTGGTCAAGGAACACATTAGTTGTTAGGTCAATGCAAGACACAAACTGCCAATTTTGATCACGGTCATAATTCTGAAACATGCCAATAATCTTCATAAGGTGGCTGGCTGTTATTAATAACTGTTTTAATACTGATAAATCAGAAATGACAGCAGTTTCAGAATTGGGACACTATGTTCCAACTCCATGTAAGATTAAACCTTGTACAGCCATTAGGGCTGGCAGGTTTTGGTATGCAATTCTTCAAGTTCTGTACTGAAGCTCTTAGTAACTTAAAATTTAGTTCATTTTTAAAATTAACCTGATTTTTAATCAGGGGTACTGAACTGGCACAGATTTTAAAACTACTCTCACAATGTTAAAAATGAGAACACCAAAACCTGTTTTAAGGTATAAAAGTAAAGCCACGCATAAAACTGGGGCTGGGGTGGGACACGACACAATAGGGGTCAAAATGGGGCTCAGTCACGGTACATTACCAAACTTTCGAGTCTTGCGTTCCTGCGTGGCAGCTGCATGTGCGTGCGTGCGATCAGAAATAGATTTTCATGAGAAGGATGAGGAAACCCCAGAGGCAGCTAGTCAGCCCAATGAACAAGGGCATTTTGTCTGCAGCGCCGCCCATGGGAGATGATAACTGGGTCAGTGAGGGGCCTCCACATAAACAACAAAAACCAGCCATTTTCTACAAATTTCATTTGGATCTTCAATGTACACCATCGTTTTCTATTTTCTCAAATTAGCTAAGCTATTGAGTCATTCATTGTCGCAACACACTGAATAACACTTATATCAAAGGATATTTCATGGGAGGTATTTTACAAAAACAAGGGATATTTAACAAGGCTATATAATATTAGTAGGATGCTGGATACAGGGCCAATGAGGGTGAACTGTTCAGTCAGCAAAAGTGCACATTCCAGTTCAAAATCACCCCCAGTAATGCACATATGTTCAAGACATACTGAATTTTCTTAAACATTATATGTTCATGAACTATTATCTAGCCAGCATCCTATTTTCAAGACAAACACATCTACACAAAACAGATGTGGAAGGTCTAAATTATGTGATGTGAAGACAAAACAAGCCCAAGTTCAAACATTGATAATGAAGCTCTAGTTACCTCACTCCCACCCACAAAAACTCTCCATGTATGCCAAACTAAAAAGTTTTGGGTTAGATTTGCATCAGTTTGACATTAGGTTATTATTGTGCAGACAACTAAGTAAGACATCTCTTGATGGGATCCCTTCTGTACATCCCTCCTGACTATCATATGAGACTGCAGATGTGGGGGCCCTCCCTCGTTTTGACCCAATTACCATTGTGGCGGTACTTTGTTGGGATCATGCACTGTGACATGCCGGGGCAAGGCTTCATACATGCCACTGTCAACATCAGACTGGGACTTTGGAATACACCATTAAAGCAGGCTACCATCAGCATAAAGATCTACAAGCAAGTGGACAATAAAAACCGGTGAAAAAACAAAATGTGCATAGAATTTAAGCACTAAAAAGGTGACTGGCAAGATACTTTATGAGTGTAGAGAAGTTAGTCATTAAAATCCACAGTAAAGAATGCCATTATAGTAGTGAAATCCCCAAGTCCCATTCTTTTTGCTGGCATGAAGATGTTGGGGATTTACATGGGACAGACAAAAGCCGAAGAGTGTTGGCTGATAGAAAAAAGGACAAGAGAATAATTATGTGAAAAACAAGTATAAGAATTCATTTTCCTCCCAAAGAGATGTTTCTTACTTAGTTCCAGAAATGGTAAAGTCGTTGGTGCTTAGCATGGTAAATAGTTTTGTCACAGTATTACTATATTCCTACATTTAAATATTAATTAGCTCACTTGTATCCTTGTTAATTATAAGTGCTGTTATTGAAAACTTCTTGAAATGAAATAAAATGTTAAAAACTTTCTCGTCGACTTGCAGCTTTACCGAGCAATGGGTCGAGTATCATCCAAAAGGAGAAGGAGCTGGCCAGCTGAGCTACCTGGACAATACAGTGACCAGCTGTGGAGAATACATAACTTTTCCACCCCTCTCTGCCACTCAAAGGTAAATCTGAGTCTTTGAATTCATAACATGTTACAGTATGAATAAAATTAATCAAGTCAATAATAAAAAAGAAGTCCTGCAAAAATTGACCTTAAAAGGTTATGATGATAAAGAACACTTGCTGCTACACTGTATATTGCACACTATTTACCTTGTTAAGCATTCTGACTGTAAGTGCAGTTTGGAACATAATGAATAACAATAGTTAGATTACGGATATATTTTTTACTCTGAGAAATTTCAGTAATCTTGTGAGCATGTAGAACACAAGCTGTATTTCCAAACTTACACCTAAATTTATAAGCTTTTATGAGCATTTAGCTATCAAGTGACACATGTGAAATATTATAGTGTGAAGGATTTTTTCTTATGTATATCATGGAAGAACTCTATGGCACTGAAAAAATCACAAGAATAAGTGAGCATTTGTACGAAAAAAAAAACAAGCTACATAACTACATATACATAATGGACAAGGTTGTACAAAATATTCCAATTATTAACAACTGGATTAGTTGGAAGTCAGCATTATTTATATCTAAATTATTAAAATATTTATTTTACCGGGCTATGAAAAGTCTTGTCATCTGTTTGCCACTCTCCTGGGCTAAAGAATTATTATTATTACTTTTTTGGGGATAACAATTCCCCAAAAAATCATTTATCAAAGGCATTTATTCATCTCATTTGTAATATACAGTACTGCACCCGAGTTCTCATTTTAAGTTGAAATATTTTACATGGCTCAACTTTTCTGGATTTTATTTATTTTTTTTACTTTCACATTTTATTTAAGCTTGGTGGAGGAAAGGATGTGATGAATATTAAAAAACAGACATCAATAATAATATAAAAGATAATGAGACACCCCTGTTAATTTTAGGGGCCAGGAAAAAAGTATGAGCCAGATTGGGATATAAATTTTGCTTATAATAATCAGTTATCTGAGAAGGAGAAGAGGGCTGTTTGTAACCCACAAAGGCAAAATAAAGTCTTGATTTGGGCATGTAAGAAGTCATGGGTTATAAAAGTTACAAAATGGTTGTTTACTAATAAATTTTCAAACAAACTCCATTAGTTATTATTATTCAGTTACTCTCACTTGCTCTCCAATGAGACATTTGCACACAGTGAGGAAAGGTACCATGAACACCTTAAGTCAGAGGCATAAATTTTTCAAGACAGAATTAAATGTAATATGTACAGTAGACTCTTGCCATTCGCGAGGGATAGGTTCCAAGAAAAGGCGCGAATTGGCAAAACAGCGAATAGCAACTTATACTACCTTAGTGCACTACTGTATACCTATACCAAACAATTGACCAGCTGCGACAGCACTCATCCCCTCTATTAACTTATCTAATAATAAAACTTTCTTTGTCAGGGTCATCATTGACTTCTGCCTTTTACATTTCAATCCACTACCATCACTAGCACTGACACTAGGCAGTGTTTTAGGGGCTGTTTCACACAGAAACACTAATGTTTTGAGAGTACAACACAAGATGCTGCATGGCAGCATGGCTTCACAAGCGGACGTTCATGTCTAACTAATCTATTAACATTCTTTTCATCAGTTTTCGAATCGGTGGACGAGGGGCACAATTATGATGTGGTATATCTCGATTTTAGCAAAGCCTTCGACAGAGTCCCCCACGAAAGACTAATTAGAAAGGTAGAAGCACATGGCATCAAAGGTAATATCCTTAAATGGATGAGGGCATGGTTACAGGACAGGAAACAGCGAGTGAGCATTAACGGCACTGAGACCCATTGGAGCAACGTCACTAGTGGAGTTCCCCAAGGCTCAGTACTTGGACCATTATTATTTATTATATACATAAACGACATAGATATCGGCATAGACAGCAACATAAGTAAATTTGCTGATGACACTAAAATAGGACGTGTTATTAAATCTGACGAGGACTCCGCAAAATTACGGGAAGATCTAAAAAAATTTTTCGAATGGTCTGAAAAATGGCAGATGAAATTCAACGTGGACAAATGTAAAGTACTCAGTATAGGAGATGTGATAAGTAGGAACCTTAAGCCAAGTAAACAATGTGTTTTTGCTCGTAACAAGGCTAATAAAGTACTTGGGTTCATACAAAGGAGTGTTAGTTACAAGACTAGCGAGGTCATCCTAAAACTGTATCTTGCGCTTGTGAGACCACACCTGGATTACGCAGTTCAGTTCTGGTCACCGTATTACAGAATGGATATAGAATCCTTGGAAAGAATTCAGAGGAGAATGACAAGACTAATCCCGGGCATTAGGAACCTTGAGTATAGAGACAGGTTAAAGCAACTTAATTTGCACTCCCTCGAGAGAAGTAGAGCGAGGGGCAACCTGATAGAGGTGTATAAGTGGAAGTCAGGGCTAAACAAAGGGGACATTACAAAGGTACTCAAACTAACCAACCAGGAGTGAACTCGTAACAATGGTTTTCAATTAGACAAATTTAGATTTAGGCGTGAAATAGGTAAACACTGGTTTGGAAACAGAGTAGTGGATGAATGGAACAAGTTACCAAATATCATCATTAACTCGAATACGCTGAATAGCTTCAAACATAGGTTGGATGCTTATATGAGCAATAGGGGTTGGGTGTAAACGGGACTGCCCAGGATGGGCCAATAGGCCCGCCGCAGTTTCCTCCATTCTTATGTTCTTATTGTGCTGCGGGAAAAGACTTGCAAGCCAGATTCCTGTGAATCGTCAAAATTGCAAATTGCAAGGATCTACTGTATGAATTATTTTATTATATTTTGGCCACTTTTAGTGATAGGTCATGTTTACATGGGCACACCACAAATATGCAAAGTCACATCCTTCTTCACAAGTTACACTAGAGATGTCACAGGCAACTCTACCTGGTACTGGTTGTGTAGCAATGCATAAACACAACTGTAATCTGTTTGGAAACACTTGATGTAAATGTTATGAATATACCTGTATACTGTATTTATACTTAATATAAAAACTCAATATATGTTATAAACTAAAATGAAATGGTCAATACAATTCAAAAGGCCCAGTGAAAGGACAATGACTTTTCATACCCATTTGGCTGGAAATTAATTCAATAACAAGTATATAATCAAAGTTTTTTAAGCAAAAAATTAAAGTATATGTTCCTCAATAACATCACTTATCTACAATAAGTATTACCTTGCCCATAAAGAAGTCACACTCTTCCCAACACACTCACAGGCACGCAAACACACACACACACACACTCTAACACAAAAACATTACAAATATACAAATGTGCAAGAAATATTTTATGAAAAAGTTACTTGAAAAAGACATCTTAAAGAACAACATATGCTCGCTATTATTTTTTCAAATTAAAATCACTCAAGAACACGATTAAAAAATTACTCAACTTATACTGTACTATACAGTATGTTGGATTATCATGACATTTATAAAAC